ACTCTTCTGACAAAACTGTAGATCATTATCTGACACTAACACGTCTGGAAATCCATAAGTTGCAAAATATATTCTCAAAACTCCATAGTTTCTGAGACTTGTAGTTTGAGTGTGAATGCAACACTTTCTCCACTTTCTATTTCTGTTGACAGAAACAAAATATTCTTTCCCTTCCATCTCAAAGAAATGGAAATGTACTTGTTCCCATGGTTTTCTTTTGTTTGACCATGGAATGAAAGAACTTCAGCTGTTTCATTTCTGAGATAACACTTCATAAATTTTCACAAACAATGCCCTCGCCTACCCAAAATTTGCAACTGCTTTCATTCAGATGATCTCTGTGTGCCCATGATGAAGTTCCTTTAACAATTTCTCTCTAAATTCTGGTAGATTGATGATTTCTAAACCCCATTAGAAACAATTTATTTGTTTGTGTGAAATATTCCCGCGATTTCTCATCATCACACTCTTTAGAACAGTCATTCACTACCTAACTGAGCACTTTATTAAAAACCACATGCTTGCAAGTTTCTTCACTAATTTCACAGGCATGACATTTGTACTTGTAAATTCACAGGTAACTCAGTGGTTAAAAAATAATCAACCTTTCCCTGAAATCATTAAAGTCCCCATTTGCATGTTCTGCTGATTAAACAATGTTTGATATTGTTCTAAGGGCTAATATTATCAATTGATCCTCCTTGCTCAAAGATCATTTTGTCCTGTCTTAGCTCTTCCTCAGATGTACTCTTACTCATCCAAGTTTATTTGAATCTTCTTAAACCCATCCATTTTCATCAGCAAAACTTTCTTCCTGACTACTAGTAACAATGGTGAGTCATGGGAAGTATTATTGTATTCTACAAGAATACTAGCTTCATCTAACACTGGAAGACTGTCTGTTCATTGTCATTTCACATCAGTTTTGTACAAGGGAATATGACTGAAGGACTCCTAAAAGATTGTTCCAGCTGTATCCACAATGAAAGTAATCAGTGAACTTCCAACTTTTGTTTGAACTGCGTGTGCTGAAGTTTTAGCCCTATTTTCAGCTCTATTACTTTAATCTTCTATGTGCTTTACTTCACCTTCTGACTGTGTACAACTCCATCTTCCTGCTTGCAAATCTTCTGTTTCCATATCAGTCCTTTGCATAGCCAATGACTCCTCAACCAGCTATATATTTACCATGGTTTGAACTAGTGCATGGCTGCAACCTGGTGTTCTGCTGTGACCTGGAACATTACTGTCTCCTGCATGCATCTGGATATGACTGACTGACTGGAAATGGGCCAGTCTGAGATGGTGGCTACTGACTTTGAGATTAAGAGCTGGGACTTAGATCTTACTGAAATCCAATGGACCTCTCTTACCAGCTGAAGAAAAGAACTTTGCAATTTTCAACCATCGCTTTCTGCTACTTCCCTGGTTGCATCCTCATTACAGATTAAGGCTTGGCCTGAATGTTACTATTCACTATCCACAGTGGCAAGAGTATCTCTTTAATTTTAAAATGTAATCCACAACAGTCTCATTTGGCAACTGCTTTCTTTCATCAAATGCTAACTGTCATGTTTGTGATATACAGAAATGATCTGGAGGAAGGTATAGATAGTCTGATTAGCAAGTTTGCAGATCACTAAGATTGGTGGAGTAGCAGATAGTGAACGAGACTGTCGGAGAATGCAGCAGACTATAGATAGATTGCAGAGTTGGGCGGAGAAATGGCAGATGGAGTTCAATCCAGGCAAATGTGAGGTGATGCATTTTGGAAGATCCAATTCAAGAGCGAACAATACAGTAAATGGAAAAGCCCTGGGGAAAATTGATGCACAGAGAGATCTGGGTGTTCAGGTCCATTGTACCCTGAAGGTGGCAATGCAAGTCGATAGAATGGTCAAGAAGGCATACGGCATGCTTTCATTCATCGGACGGGGTATTGAGTACAAGAGTTGGCAGGTCATGTTACAGTTGTATAGGACTTTGGTTCGACCACATTTGGAATACTGCGTACAGTTCTGGTCGCCACATTACCAAGAGGATGTGGATGCTTTGGAGAGGGTGCAGAGGAGGTTCACCAGGATGTTTCCTGGTATGGAGGGCGCTAGCTGTGAAGAGAGGTTGAGTAGATTAGGATTATTTACATTAGAAAGACGGAGGTTGAGGATGGACCTGATAGAGGTCTACAAAATCATGAGAGGTATAGACAGGGTGGATAGCAAGAAGCTTTTTCACAGAGTGGGGACTTAATTACTAGGGGTCACGATTTCAAGATGAGAGGGGAAAAGTTTAAGGTAGATATGCATGGAAAGTTCTTTACGCAGACGGTGGTGGGTGCCTGGAACGCGTTGCCAGCGGAGGTGGTAGAGGCGGGCACGATAGCGTCAGTTAAGATGTATCTAGATAGATACATGAATGGGCAGGGAGCAG